TAAAAAAGGCAGTGGCGTATTTTTAAAACAATTTTGGACAGGTTTTTGAAAATTTCGATTGAAGAGGGTATTAAGAAACTATAGAAATACATAAAATTTAGAAGTCATAAAAATGCTTAAATTTTAAGAAGCCATAGAAATATATAAAATTTAGAAGCCATAGAAATATATAAAATTTAGAAGCCATAAAAATGCTTAAATTTTAAGAAGCCATAGAAATATATAAAATTTAGAAGCCATAAAAATGCTTAAATTTTTAGAAGCCATAGAAATATATAAAATGTAGAAGCCATAAAAATGCTTAAATTTTAAGAAGCCATAGAAATATATAAAATTTAGAAGCCATAAAAATGCTTAAATTTTTAGAAGCCATAGAAATATATAAAATGTAGAAGCCATAAAAATGCTTAAATTTTAAGAAGCCATAGAAATATATAAAACTTAGAAGCCATAAAAATGCTTAAATTTTAAGAAGCCATAGAAATACATCAAATTTAGAAGCCATAAAAATGCTTAAATTTTAAGAAGCCATAGAAATATATAAAATTTAGAAGCCATAAAAATGCTTAAATTTTAAGAAGCCATAGAAATACATAAAATTTAGAAGCCATAGAAATTCTAAGTATTTAAGAAGCCGTAGAAATTCTATGTCATATCTACCGAAAATGGTACTTGAATTTAATGATTAATTGCTCATAGAAGGTAAGTCATTGGGAAATATTTCTTATTTTTATCATATGTTACTTTAAACTAGTATTTATTTGAAGTATTTTATATTAATTAGTAATGTAATTTTTATAAATAATTTATTTGTATGAATTCTGTTACTATGAAAAATTTTATTAATAATTTAATCACAAAATGCATGAATTTTGGCTTTACTGCCAAATAACTACTGGAAAACGAAATTTCGTAGTTTTTATTTTTTTCATCTTGATGTACATATTATTAACTTTAATGTAGTTAAGGTTATATAATTCGATATTTAAGCTTCCACGATATCTTAGTTAATGATTTAATTTTCAAAAAAGTCATGTGGTTATCAAGGCAAACTTGAGTTCAAGGTCTTTCAAAGTCAAAATTCGAAAAAATTATCTATGCTATTTAAGAATAAATTTAAAGAAAACAAAAATTGTATTAATAACTTAAAAAGTTGATTATTTGTTTGCGTAATGGCATTTGCATTGTTAACTAAATCTATTTATTTATAAAAATTACGATTCGTATGTCTAATTTAAATTCAAATGACTACCGTCGTCCTTAAGAACTGTGAAATATTTTTTTTTTTAATAAAAAGCATTCTTTTTATTCGTCTATATTTATAATAAACAGTGTTTTGTTGCTTTTGAAGTTTAGTGAGTTGAATATTTCTTCTGGTGGTTCAATGTGTATGTCTTAAATATTCACTAAAATGAAAAAACGTACTTTTGAAAACTCGTTTTATTAATATCAAGTACAGAAACTTTCTATATGTAAACTATAAGCACACTAAGAGGTTTACTTAAAAAAGTCTAAAGCCAAATGTCATATACAATTTCCCATTTCTAATACAAAATCGAACCGCTGTCGAGTCATAAGCGTTTTTTATCTTCATCGCCGCTATACGGTTCGCACGAGTTCTTTGTTCCTGTGTCAGCATCTCTGTTCAACGCAGGATTTATGATGCACGCCATTGTAAACTTCTAATTTCACTTTTTAGTTTTACTCTTACAACCTATTATATCACCTTTTCAACGAGAACTGCCGTAGAAAAAAAACAACAACAAGGATGCAGGACATTACGGTAATAAGAACATGTTCTGGTCGGCATCGTGAACGATTGACCTAGAAATGAGTGTATGTAACGATTTCTAGGCGAAGATATAAAAATGAAATGGAAGACGAGAGAGAGAAAAACAGCATAGGAAAAATCGATATGGGTTTGCTTTTAGCGTCATACCGCGTAAAAAATGCTTTTTACATACTTAATGTATAAATGTGTTTACACAAGAATCCCTTGGCCTAACTCGTCGTCCTCTTTTCGCGTCATGTCTATATTGATCTCGCGAACCCTTCACGAGCGATGTTTCATTCCCATGTGGTGTGTGCACAATGGGACGCCGAGGAATAATCAAGAGGAACATTTTTGATGTCTGATACCATTAAAAAAGCACCTCGATCGAACGCGACGAGAAAAAATACCAGTGGTGGGTACATACTAACACAATGTACCTTGTGTATACATACACTACCCGCATTGTGGTACTCGTGACCTATTATCTGGATAACGTTTTGTACAACTAGTGTTTTGTGTGTGTTTAAGCGATGCATTTTAAACGTCTTAAAAAAAAAACCTTATAATAACTTCTATATATAGTCGTGCCACATGCATCTTTAATACCACAATAGATTTATTTTCTGTGCACACTCAATCGAGATAAGGCACACTACACGGAAACCCGTTCGGAGGTGTCTCGGCCGACGGATTCATGACACCTCACGGACTCGGGCGTTTCAGATAACCCAATGAAAATAATAACAAAAGAGCAGATAAAACGAGGTGCGAAATCAAATATCCGAACCGCATAATTGTTGCGGCGTTCCACGTTCGAGATTCGTGTAAAACAATTGACGTAAAACGCTATCGTATGCCGTTGGAACGGTTTTGCGCGGGTACGGACCGAAATGACGGCGGCAGTCGTGGCAAACGTCACCGCACAGTTTGTTGCTAAGTATACGACCTGAGTGTTTGGACTTGAACCCAGATTAGGGTGTGCAACGACGTCAGGTCGCGTACGCGAGCACCTCCCCGTCAACGCACAACGATTACGGGGAAACGTTGCGAATATTATATTATACAAGCCCCGCAGGCAAGTGAATAATGTCACCGTGTCCACTGGATTTCCACCCGACTCGTTCGCTGTTGGCACAATGCATACAGAAGTTATCTGACGTTCACAGTTGGATAGATATTATCCTGCACTCGTACCATTTACCTGTACTGGAACCGTACGAAATAATACGGCCACGACATTACACGGCCGGTGCAGCGTCGTATTTGCGTCCCCGAGCATACGTTTTTTACGTACGCATTCAAAGTACTTTGTTTTTATTTCAATCCTACTCTGTGTCGATCGTGTACGACGTGCCGGCCTACGTCGAGATGTACTTACCGAGAGTATTAAAAAAACATAGTGCGGCGCATTACGGTTTTATCGACATTTCGCGTTTAACGGGCTGCACGTGGATGCTTTAAACAGTGACCTGTCATAGATACACTTCGAGGTGGCTTAAGAGCGCTGAAGACGTAACTCGCTATACAAGTACCCGTATTGGCCCTAAAAACAGTACGGCGGACAATAACTCCGAGTGCTCTTTTTAGTGTTGGTGCATTTGAAACGTTCCAACGGGTTTTTAACGCTCCGCGAAGACAACCAGATTCTCAATGAGAAACAATGAAGTTTATTACGAATCTATGAACCGTGACTATCGAAAACGATTTTACACGATTACGTCGGTAGTTTTATTTTACGTTGGTTTTCTCGTGTTATTTTTACCGCTGCACTCCGACCACATTTCGGCATAATAACAGTTTGCCGTGTTTCAGACCGAAGACAAGCTCGAAAGTTTATCTTATCGTCTTATATTACCTCCTGGTAAATATAATTAAGCTACTGTATTATTTTAGGTGGTCGAGAATGTTTATTCGTGTTTTCCTCTCTGGCTCTTGGCGAAGACAAAATAATACGCGTTCGCTTACATTTACGCACAGATCAGCCGCCAGCGTGTTTATGTAAAGAATTAATAACGAGGCGTGTTTGCCAAGAAATCCCGGTGAAAAAATAATTAACTATTAATTAATTCCGACAAACGCGTAGTGAAAATATAGAAAACGATGAACCGCCGTACCATACCTGATTACCTACATGTCCGACAATAACACAACAAATGTTTAAAAACGTTACTGTTTGCACGAACGAGTTATAAACTTAATAAAACAAGTCAATCGACTCGTCGTACGCGTGACTTACGAAATTCAGTTGTACCACATACGTACACTGTTGACTTCCAGGAAATTTCCAATAAAAAAACTACCACGACGTTTTCGTTATTTGCGATTTCGTAATTAATTAGTACTTATCGAGCAGAGACAACACAACGGATGACTTGCGTAACGCTCGTTGTTATCTCGTCCTACTCGATGATTCGACTTTCAAACGAAATTTGTACTTCGCTTTGTCGAAATAACGCGATAAAATTTATGTCTTCACAAACTTATAATTGTCGTTATAAGGTTACTCGTGAAATTTGTCTTCCAAAAACTATGTTGGTTATCTGTGTAATTATTCATATCCGCGAAGCAGAATCACGACCGTTTTCGTACAGGCGGTCCTCAGCAAAAAACCGAGTCTAATTTACAGTGTTCGGGAATTGATCGCCCTTGAAATGAAATTAAAACGAGACGTATAAGAAAGTGTATTCAACTAATACCTACACCGAAAACTACTGCGACAGCAATGGACCGTGTCGAAAAAGCGGCGAATAAAATATTGAGCTATTACACCCACACACAGTCGCCGGCGTTTCCATGTTATTACGTTAACGACGGGCGTACACAGTAATAACAGCGTTTGGAACGCACTCGGATATTATCCTATACAAAGAAGATCCTTTATAATAAAAACCCTGCAGCAAAGAGGTCGTAGAGAGTGATTAATTAACGTGAGCGGGTCACATGGTCATACACCAGGCCGTGTACGCTCTGTGCCGTTATGTGTACAAGTTACACACAGTACAACTTATTATCCTATCCGGTTTGCTGTACACGCACTGAAGTAACAGCGATGGTTTGTTTGATGTGGTCGAACGATAAACATTGTATGAAGGCTTTTGTTTAAAGCGAATACATTTTTTTTTATCAGCCACGCGATTATGTTAACTCAGCGTCGCCGTCACTTATTCCGGAAGCTCCTCGCGCAATTCGCGTAGTGTGAGGTGTGCGGCGGTGCAACGAGTTTTTTTTTTTTTTTTTATTATCCCGACACATCGGGTTCGATGTATTCATTTACACCGACACTTATTGTAAATAATTGTTGCTGCAAGTACAATTTCTCGTACGCGATCTGCTCAGTGTCTTGCGCACAATAATAACTACGGGTCGGTTTACGTCATATCACCACCGTACGTTGGCATTTCATTTGGTTTTTTATCTGGCCACCGCATATTGCTGTTTGACGTTTTGCTGGCATCTGATCGCCATACGCCGAATTCTGTAAAAAAATTAAAACGTCGGCACTTGGCGTCGAGCCACACTCTGAGCTTTTAGACGTCGTGTGTTTATTATTATTATCATATTTTATTTTCATTATCATTCTAAATCACGCGAAAAGTACTGACATCCGCTTCTTCGACATAAATAGTGTGTATAAGTTTGATGAACTGCCGGACCCGCGGGGCCGCAAAGGTTTACACGGTAATAGAGAAAAAACGAAATAATAACAATTTGGAAAGCGTGCAATATAACTCTGGTGTGAGTTTTTGGTAAGATTTGTCGAGTATGTGTGAAAATAATAAAATAAAATTTAAGTAAACACATCAAATGTTCACGAGATATTACGTGGTGTAAGCGGGTACGATTCTGAAAACGCATTTAATTTAATGTACTCTGATGAGATAAACTGTTTTAATAATTCATATATTTATTATCTCGTCCAATTCTAGATTATAAAAGGCGTTGGTTCGGTGTATATAACCATTTGAATTTATTTTCTCACATCAGAGTTATACCTTCGGTTTGTTTTTTGATGTTCAAATGTATTTATTCTAATTTCAAATTATGATTTACTGGAATTCAATGTGTTTTTTACTTATTCCAACACCTACCATATTTATGTTATAATTAATTTAAATATTTGTCCATAGTATTTTCCATTATAATAATTTAAAGCGTGAAAAATTATAATTTAAAATGTGTGACTTAAGAAATTAGACGTTCATTTTTTGCGATTTAATATTTTCAACGCCTATGTGGTTTTCCTAGTCTAACAGCAACGAATTTAGTGATTAAAAATTTGCTTTTTCACTCAAATTAATAGTTGTCATAGCGACTTTTGAGTTTTACATTTAAACAACATAGCGATATGTATGTAAAGTAAATATATTTTTTTTAATTTTTCCATAATGATAAAAGGATATTTATAATTAATTTTATCGTATAAATTAAATTATTTTCACTTTCATTACTTAGGCAAACAAAGTAAATTGAATCTTGAAATTATATTTTATAATTCAGATAATATGTTATTAAATAAATACGTGCGTTTGAAATTAATTTAAAATCATTATTTTGTGTTACAAAGGCAACAGCTGAATAAAGATTAAATGATTGCATAAATTACTATTGACTAATTTTACTACACACTTATAGAGTCACATAACATGTCAGGTTGATTTCTTAAAATACCGTTAAAAATTAATTAATTGTCATATATTTTTTCCACTAAAACGATTACATTTTCCAAAAAAAAAAAACTGGTTTTCTTATGTTGAAAAAAGGAGAATGCTTTGGATTAACGACTGTTTGTCACTGAATAGTAAATATCAATCAAATAGATTAATTTATTTAGAAAAACATCGTGTATTCCCTAGATCATTATAAAATATACGAATTCATGAATTTAATTTGTTTTAACTTAATCGATTCGCCAATTTATTTATTAATGCAGGCGCTTATTAACAAATGTAGACAGTGTCAATGAAACCAACCGTTAAATTGCCACTGTATATACTGACGAACGCAGTTTTTTTAGCGGCATCTAAATACTCATTAGGTATGAGTCACGACTTTTTTCAAGTGAAAAAATTTGCTCACAATTATAATGAGTTATAGTCGAGTAATAATTTCACAGCGCTTATTGGTTTAGGTAAAACCAAGTAATATAAATAGTGCAAAAGTAAAAAATGTCATTACTTTTTGGGTATGATATTATGACTGATTCCATTGCTATGCACAGACGACAGATTAAAATTAGACATTATGCCGCCATACGCCGTGTCGGTTAATAAAACTTGACCGAGTTAGGTAGCTTTTTAATTTCTGCGTATACAAAATGGTGAGATAACATGTGTTATTTATGGTAAATATTAAATAATAAACCGTATATCAAATAATTGTTGCTAAACAGCATTGACGATAAGTATTATTACTAGAAAACGGATATGTCGGTTTTGAAACCCCTTACAAATTATGCTAATATGCACTAATTATTCTCTGGAATATGATCAAAATGTGATCTAAATCTAATATGCACTAAACATGTCAAAATATAATAAAAAAAAACCATAAATATTTCAGTAGTAGTATATACCAATATTTGTCGATTTTAACAACATTTTTTATTCCAATAAAAGTATATACTTCTAATTTTATTAAACATCGAAGTATTAAATAGTACAAAAGGTAACTTTTGAATGGCCACAAGTTAAATAAAAACCTTTATATGTAATAATCAAAATTAAAAATAAATAAAAGTAACGAATTTATGTTTGGCCAAATATAATAATTTATTTTGGTAGGTATTCGAGGAACTCCTAAAAAACATTATAAATTTAATTGATACGCTACAAATAAAGTAAAGTAATAACTATCATTTTTTGGGGTGATTCGAAGAACTTTACAAATAATTAATTGTTAAAACAACATGTAATATGACCCAGACCACAGCATATTTATATTTTTAACACTGTTACAGTGATTTGGTATTTTTAAAAACGTAATTGAAATATTTTACACACAAATAACAAGAGACGAAAGAATAAGAGTTATCGTATCATATTCTCTAATGTGATTTCTTGCAAACATATTCGGTTGATTCGGTTTAAATATTTGGTGGAATCGTGACAGTTGGAAACATTTATTGTCAAGGTCTTTGAAAAATAGCGACCAACATCATACATTTTATTATTTGTAAGTTATAGATTAGTTTTTAACGATTTTTTATCGCTAAATATTTTTCTAACAAAAAAAGAAAAATTAAAACAACTCAAAATAATCTAAAACATTAATAACACGCTAAATATTCATTATTCTCCAGAATATGATAAAATATACAAAACAAATATTTTGCTACGAACTTAGGGATTTGACGAATCGCCGACATTTCTTACCCTCGGCGTACTGCGTTAAGTCAATAAAAAATATGTGAAAACCTAAAAATCCGCTCTCTAATTATTAATGTCCATTTGAATAGTGAGTGTTATCACCGTAAAAAAATGTGTACCGTTTCTGGTCGTTTTTTCGGTTTGTATGGTAACAAAGTTATTACTGTCGTGCCATAACAACAAGTACTATATTCTAGTTTTTTGGAAGAAATATTACGTTCACTTCTACTCCAAGTATATTTTATTTTCGAACAACAATTTCGAAAATAAGTACAATAAAAATATCAATAAACGTTAAAAGTTTATTGGGTTTTCAGTTGTGTGTTACTTTGATCTACACCGATAAAATTTGTATCCAACTCACGTCTGACATATTTATTACCGCTGGTCGGACGAATAATTATTTTTCGGCCCATTTATAATCATAAATATTAACTGACAGTTTTCAAAGCTGAGCTATTTTCATGTACGTGAGGTAGAATTTTATGGATAAAAGTTAAAATTGATTTATTGCAGTCTGCACGTGGTTATAATCGTTTGCCATTTAAAGTTGTTAATTTGATGTATTATTTAGTTACAACTGTATGCCTTTGTTGTGGAGCGTTTCACACGACTTAATCATAGCGAGGGTTTTGCGCAGTACTATAAGGGACAACTTTTTCCAATGTGTGATATCTACTGTACTTAATGCTGCAAAAAGGTCACATCAACCTTAACTTGTTTTAGATTTTTATTAAAATCTACCGATTAAAACACACCGCCTACGCATAATTATGCACCGTTGGATATTGCCCTCGAGTAGCACACTGTTGCCTAATCGATATATAAACGCTGATAATAATTATTGTACATACAAAGTGTGTTATGCATTTGTTAAGTTTTGTAAAAATAAGAATGTTCATTGCTCATGTGAAAGAATTAAAGTGTACCCAACGAGATGAATATCGGTTATTTTATTTTTATTAATTACTATTGCGTTTCTAGATAACACCAAAGACTTTTTTGTAACAATAACAGTGGCGCTTTGTTTTTACACGAAAGAGTCGTGTCAGCCATAAAACAAAACATTCATTCGGTCAGATTTCAAAACGACAGCGAGTGATTAATAGGACACACGTTAAGCGCACAACAGTGTTGGGTGACATTCACACTAAGTACCACATTAGCCGGTAGCTCGTGTTGTCGGTTGGCTTGTCGATTTTTTTTTTTTTAAACATTCTACGCTTTTATACTTATTTAGTTTCGCTTTACTTTTGTTTGTTGACTCGACGAGAACTTTAACTCTGTCGGCGTAGATAATAAAATGTAAATTTAAAAATACCATTCGGGTATTGTTTATGGTTTTTAATTGCCTAAACACTGTACCAGCGCCTATAATTCTGTTTTTCTTTCTCTTCTTCGGTGGTATACCGCCACCATCGTCTCTGCACATAAAACAGAGTCGAAGTGTCCATTACAACAGATTTAACGGCCAACTATACACATAACACTTCACATGTACACAGACGGGCGCACGCCATAAGTATACACGACACGCTGTACAATACACTGTAGTCATACTGCAGGAGGCACCATATGTGTATATGAAAACGCACACATATGCACCGTTCTAAATATCCAACAAAAAACACATGGCTCATGATTTCGACATTTGTATTTTTAAAACACTCTCTTTTGTAATTAGTTTGTATATCATTTTTGTACAGCCATTTCATTGGCTTGGACCGAACGCTTGTTGTTTTTTTTTTTTATACGAGTACCTATATCAACCGAATAGTACAACCATTATATATTTATATATTTTTTTATGCACAGGCGACGGACATGGTAAAATGTTGTTTGTACAACTGATTCGTGAAATTTGTCAGCTTCGTTTTCCCCGGAGAACTTTTGGGATTTGCCGAAAAATAGTGTTATGGGGTTGAGTCGTGTTTTCTTTGCTTATCGACCTCTTCGCGGAGCTGTAAAAATAGAAAGTAACGGGTCGATACGATTGGAGGACGGTCACTTAGACATATCTGCGTAGTCATAAGATTTTTGAAGTAAAACAACAAATTGAATACTTTTTGTTTGCCATTAAAGCGTTCAATTTCTCATCAGGGTTGTTGCTACGTGCACTTAATGTCATTGTACACTCAAGGGAAACTGTGGCTTGTGTAGCTTCTTAGCCGAGTGTTTTATTACTATTTCCCAGAAACGCTTTAATTATTCACCGGTAATACGATGAGATAGGAGACTTCACGGATGATTTGTCGTCGTTTTTCGAGACCCTGTTGAGCACGAAAATAGGGTATTACGTTACACGTTGAAGACGAACTAAAATATCACTAAACGACAATGAAAGATAAAATAAAAAAAAAAAACCTCAACTCCTACCACAGTTAAAAGTAAAAATCCGTCGATTGATACGTTAGTTGAGAAGAAATGTTGTTATGGGTCACGAGTTATACTTGAATTTAATAAATTAATATTTAATAAATATTTATGTTGCAGTTTCTCACACTTTTGCATCATAAAAATTAATCTACTGGAACAAATTAAATTTCCTCGTATCTATTAAAAGACGTTTGTTTATTTGTATTTTTAATTTTTCAAAAACAAAGTTATTAATGAGTATAATTATAAGTATTTTATTAAATGAACATTTACCGAAACAGGTAATATGGCTAGTGTAATTTATACGGCTCAAAAAAAAAAAACATATCCTTGTTTTTTTTATCTTATACTCTTACAAGGTTCAAAAAAAATTAAATTTTTATATTTATCCGAAGATGGTTTTTAGGGCTTATCTGTACAATTAGAACAGCATGAAAAAATCTAATTACAGATTTATAGTAAGCGTTACAAATTGATTTAGTGCCAAATCTTTTTTCCAAGGTTTATTTAAAAATTATTCTTATTTTTTAGTTCAATTAATAATTAAACAAAACTATGTATTTCATATAAAAAAAAACTCAATATGGTATTTAAAACTTAATCGCTCTATCTTTTTAAATGATAAATGTAATTTAAATATTACTTTATTTAAGTCGTCAATTTACAAAAAAAAAAAATCGGCCCGAATGACAACATGTGATACATCTATAGACGAGTAGTGTAGAGTATTTTAAGAAATTTAGACGGGTGCTCTCTTTTTTTACTAATTAGAAAAAGACTGGTTTATGACATAATTGACAAGGTACACATTAAAATACTATAATAAATTTTAAGGGGAATAACGTATATTAACCAAAGTGATAACCTTATAAATTTTATTACATTAAAATCCATTATAATGGCTCGTATTATGATTTTTATATTCTACGTAATTTGTTTGTCTAGTGGTTACCAAATATATTATAAGGTTAGCTGTTCATTTATAATTGAATCTGAAAAATGATTAATTCATAAGTTAGGCTATATGGATGTTTTTAAAAAAATTTTTGTTATAAATATATATGACATTAAGTTGGAACGAAAGCAACCTGAGTTCGCTGAGCTTAACATAATGACGCGTAAAGTTCAAAAATAACAAATTTTGATAAAGGTACAGTGTCACATATTCTGAGAATCACAGTGTCACCGACTTTTCCGGATCACAAGTGTTCCAAACGATAGCCAAATGCAAAAGAAGCTAATGAATGACGTGAATTAGATAATTTTGAGCTTATAACCTTTATAAAATATGACAAACACTTTGTAACAGTATCATGTGTATAATTCTTTAATAAATCATTTTTTGCAGATATTGTAGTCAGCACTGAGACTTGTGCGTTAAAGATTTACGCTACGTGTAGTGGAGGAGTTGGTTAACCGTAAAAAATGATAAAAATCAATTATTAGACTGTCAAGCGCAGGTATTAATTTATTAACATTAATTATTTAGCACATTATGAACGATAGGTATAAATTGTATCGAGCTATGTTATTCTCGATTTTTTGTTACGCCCAATGTTTCTGTTTATAAGAAAAAAATGTACACAATTTGGATGGATATCTCTAGTTTTCACTATTTTATTAAACGTTGTGTTTTCTAATCGCTTTCGGCTATTGGTTATCATCTTATCGTTATTACAATTTTTTTGTATCAATTTAACCTTTACTCTCTTATTCGTTTGATGTTTCGGTCGAACAAATTTTATAATAGACATTTTACATGATAATGATGTACCAAGTCCATCCACTTTGGTAAACTTAACTTTTTTTTAATTTTCACTATGAATTTTTTAGACAGAATTAAATATTTTCACGCTGAGAAAACGAAATTAATTTTCAAAACAAACTAATGCATTTGTTCATTGGATAAATTACTAAATTTACACAATGCTGTACATTTTGATAAGTGTCAAGTGGTCTTCAATAAATCTTTACTCTTTTTTTTAAAAAGTAAAATATTTATAAATTTTCGATGTGTAATTTTTTATTTTTATAAAATGTAGTATCTAGAACATTTAAACTACTCATGAAGTATTTTTTTTAACAAAAGTGAAAGTTGTCAATAAGTTGAAAAATATTTTATCTATTTGAGTAATATTTGATTTTTTATGCTATAATTACTTTTTATGATTATTTTTAGTCGACAAATAGTTAAACCACAATTATACGCTGTGACGTTTGGATTAGGTACGAGTATATCAAGTTTCTACTTGTGTATTTTTTTAAAGAAAAATTATTCATATACATAATTAAACGTAAATTTCTAAGTGAATTAATTTTTACTTTAGTAGAAAAATGATAAACAAATTTACAGTTGTGCTATTTTGATATTGATGTACATCTGTGTTTTTATTGATGTTATAATTAATTTTCATTTAAAAAAATGTATTGAACTTAAATCTGCAGGAAACAGAATGACAGTGGTGGTTGAATAGGGTCAAAAATCTTTAATTATTACTGCAATTACGTTACGGATGCATAAATTACGTTTGATTTATTATTAATAGCATACACATTCACAACTTATTGTTTACTTGTAACTTCCATTTATATGATTAATTACTGATTATTATTAATGTTACTATATTTGACAGAATATGTAGGTACAAAATAGTTTTGTTTTCAGTTTTGAATGGTTGATTGGTTATTTACTATAGATTAATTGATAGTCTTATCAGTAATAGTAATGTTTTCCGCATCTATTGTTATCGATTTACACACAATAGCCTATAAAGTAATTATTTTGCTTTTTTTACAAATAATTATCATTTTAATGGTCAGCGTTTATTTACAATTATGATGTAATATATGAAAGTTAAATTCATTTTTTAAATCAATAAAATTTGTATATTTTTAATTTATGTAAAATATTATTTTTTTTTAACTGCAGCGAAAATGATTTTTAAAAGCTAAAAAAAAATATTATTTTTAAATAACTTAGTATGTACCTGAATAAATCACCAGGGATCTAGTGTATTAAAAGTGTATTTTAATGTTACCAAAAAATACTAAACAATTTCAATAAAAAAAACATATAACAAAGATAGCGTTATTAATCGACAGTGTTATTTATTTAATATATTACAAATAAAAATGTTTAGCAATGAAATAATTGACTTAAAATATTTCAAGTTTCTAAAAATAGTTATTTTAATAAATAATAAAATTATTAAAATTGGTTTCATATTATTTATATCGTATTTTAATTATGATTGACATAGTTAAGTATATTCTGCGAAACACGTGTCGAATTTTGAATTTCTATTATTCCTAAATGGCCCGGAGACGCTTTTCAATTATGAGAGAAGTTTTCTAAATAATCAATCCAAATTTGATTTAAGGTCCTCTTGAATAACTTTTTCAGACTCTTTTTATTGTTTGTTTCATATCGTGTTTGTTTTAGACAAAAATGTGATGTATAATTTTTTTCAAATCATTGCGAATGGACAAAAAATGTGTATGAATAGCTACTGACATATTTTTAATAATCTAGCCGAGTATGTTTATTGAGAGTAAATATTGATTTGACATCACTCATCTTATATTCAATTTTGAAGATAAAAGCGTCAATGATGATACTATACATATGCATTTAGCTCATCTCAATACTTGTTCAAATATATTGTTTGTGTTTTGTATCCACAGAGTGATCGACGTTCGTCTTAAGTCTACTAATGGGATTCATTTCTGTAATTATGTAAACAACCACACAGGCCTATGTACAACTGATCTGTTTAGTACTATCACACATATCTTATGTACTTGTTTAAAAAGGTTAAGTTGGAATATTAAAAGAATTTCATTTTAATCCGATTAGCTTTGCTTTCACATATTCATTTCTTGTCATTCGAGTAAGTCAGGGAAATATGACTTAACTTCTTGTAATCAAATACTTGAGTTATGTGACACATGCTTACATGAAATAATTAAATTGAACAGAAAGATGAAACTTACATTACGTTTTTGATTTAAGTTTTACAATATTCTATATTCAATAAAGTAATTAGATTAATTTTGTTTAATACATTTAACTTATATATATTCATATATATATATTTTTTAAGTTTTAAATATTTAATTAGGGGCAAGTTGATGACATGAAGGCGTCGGTCCTTGTACACCACCGTCTCGGGATCGATTCTCGTATACTCTCAAAACTTTTCGCATCATTTCTACCAACTACTTAACAAAAAATAATAACAGTAACAACAGCTAATCGTCGAGCTATAATAATACTATGTATTGAAAGCTATAAAAAAAAAAGTATTTTAATTAGTTTTTTCAAACGAGTCTACCGAATTCATTTTTTAATCAATATTCTATTGATTGACAATTTTATTTTATGAAATATTAACATAAGTATATCGCTAATAGTGTAAGAGTAGTTAATTATTATTTTCATCTATTATTAAATTTAAAATTAGGTTTTCAAAAAAGGCTTTTGTTTCGGTTCGTGCATTCTATTTGTAACAAAAAAACTTATTAGAATTGTTCGCATTAAAAATAATTAATTATTGAATACGAAAGGTCAATAATTACTTATTACTTATTCCTATGTGGAAAGTTCATGAGCCGCCGAGGTAACAATAAGTATAATGAGGTAATAGCCTACGCGAATTGTATGAATAATTTCATCAGCCAAAAATACTGTATGAACATAATAATAATGTTTAGCGGGAAAAAATATTACAATATTTTACTAGAAGTAGGTGAACGGCAAACAACTTGGCTGATGCAACTCGTCCAATAAATTTCTACGGCGGAAAGATATCAATAAACATTTGTTGAATTGCAAGGACGGTGCAAATATTTGCTAGAACTAGTCAATTCATATTATTAATCTATTAGCTTAATAAAATTTAACATATTATAATTCAAATTATAATGTAACGTTCAAGCCGGAGGAAATGTTATTAAATGATATCATTTTTGTCGTTTAATACAATAACGTTGGCATGTAATACAATTTTCATAAAAAATATCATGGGAAAATAAAATTTTATACTTAGATTTAACCTTAAACTATTTTTGAAGGTTATTTTTTGTTTACGAAAACAACAATTTCCATGTTGTTTTATTGCTAATTCATTGGATCAATTTAACGGCATAAATGGATGTTAATACATAGATCGATCACTGCTGCGGTAAACACATCAATAACATTTAAAATACTATTTAGATCTGACACTGTCCATGCGATTCGGATAGAAATGAGCTCAAATAAGAATACTATGTTTAAATAGCACCGGTCTTAATCCACATGGGATTCACGACGCTAACATAAAGTTTCCACCGCACGATTTAGATACATCTTAGACCTAAATTTGTCTTGTTTACGGTTCGAGTGGGACGTCAAATTACAACGTCCTTCGTAAAAAGCTTATCCTATAACGTCGTCACAGTGGAAACCTTTGAAATGCCATACAAAAAACGTGTACGCTTCCAGCACTTTGCAAGCCAATGACACACGCGACATATCCATTATTTTTATCCTTCAACAGTGGTAACCGTTAATCGAGTTTAGATTTGTTTACTTTAACTTAAATCTTGTATAGGTCAAGTTGTTTGTGCAAAGAAAATATTTTTAAAATAATGCAAATAAAAAAAAATATTATCATTGGAGAGTATTAATATTAATACTATTTACTAAAAGCAAATGGTATTGATTTCCAGTATATATTTTTTTTTCGTACAGTTGACAATATCAGATATATTCTTCATACAAACCGTTACCACTCGCCAAAGATTGTTGTCGTAAAACAATTACAATCAGATAACGGACAAAAGCATTTATATTGTTACTCTATGCGAATGATATACAATCAGTTCAATAAACACTTATTGAGCTGTACTTGCATTACCAAAATCGATGCAATTATTATTTTCTACATAAATAGATTTTATTTAGAATCTAGGAAATCTGTGACTAATCTATTTTTTAGTTTTAAAGTTGTTTATTTTATAGTAACGAGTAGTTTTGTGGTTGCCGATTGGCAGTTACGGGAACGCACCACCAGTCGACGAGTTTCATTAACGTCATAGGATACATTATTTTTTTAGTAAAACATACACTTGTTAATTAAATTTAGAATTATACATGAAAACACGAATTAGTAATTAAAATCTAGTTTTAACGCCGACGAGAAATTTCTAGAGGAATTCATTCGTATCGACTTTCGTACGTCTTATTGAGTGTTTGAATTGCAATTATTTTTGCGCTCAACTTACGAATAAAATTACGAACAATTATTACGCATTTAAACAAACGAAGGCCGTTAAGTAATCGTGTGCCACGAAGAATATATTTATTTATTTCCATACGAACGGTTATTAATGTAGGACCTACACTTAACACCTACAATGTAGGTGTTAAGTGTGCCGTTCGTTCAAGGGAGTCTTTTTTTACTTGTAAAAAAACGGT